CGCTTGCTTCAAAATCCTGAACATATTATGAATCAAACTGATTGTTATCTTATTATTATTAGTTATGTTTCTCCCAAGATTTTCATGCCTACCCATGGACGAAATTTCCGCTACAGCCGCGCTGGCTCCTGCCTTGCTATAGGAATTCATTACCGCCAGGAAACATTTCGAGCCTAGCCTTCCATTTGGCAGTTCTATTACGCGTTTCCTTCGTATTTCCGTCATTATATTCTTCATGGCACGAAACTATCCAGTCAAGCTGTCCGGAAGGTGTTGACTAGTTTGTGATGACTGTGTAATTCAATGCTATCAAAATAGCAATTTTATTAGTTTTAATAGTGCACAGGAAAGGTTAGAACGAAACACAGTTTAAAGTTCGAAATACACTATGGAAGCAAGTACACATCACAACGTGAAGAAAATTACTTGTACAGAACATTGACATTAATTTGAGTAGGCTACAAGTTGAGCTTTTGTTTACTTTTTTTCTACATTATTTCATACTGTCCAGAACATTACATCTGTAGCGCTGTCCCTTTTAGCTCTCCGATTAAGGCAGCGTGCATATGTCTGTCACGAACGCCCGGCCGTAAACCTGCAGTTGTTCTGCCTCCTTCATGGGACTTTGCCGCTACTCTTTACACTCCCCGTCAGTAAAACTGCTGCTACTGGCATTCCTGGGGCCAAACTTTCAAAAAAGTTAAGAGATCGTAAGTTCATCTGCCAATCATTGACGGCCTTTCAAGCAAAATCCACCAATCATAGACAAGAAAATAGAGCGTGAGTACTTACGTTAACTTAGCGAGTTTTGAAAGTATGGCCCCTGAAGCATTAGCACGGAGCCCTCGTCTCTCAATAACGTATTTTCAACGGAAGCCCTGCGGCGTGGTAGGTGTGAACGTTGTTTGTGTGGACGACGCTGACGCCGTACAAAATCTCGCCCAACCAAACTTGTTTGCCCCGAGCTAAATGAGATTTTTTGTTCGCATCGGCCAACTTCGCTTCTTACAATGTTGATGTTCGATGTGATGTTATTTCAAGATACTCGTATCATTAAGCAATATTCACGCGTCTGGCCTGAACTTTTTTTGCTGATTATGAAGAGAAGTGATTCATATTTTGAAAAATAACTGGGCCTCAAGCTTATATTATTTTAGAGACTCATTTTTCTCAGAACTGTATACGCATTTGCTATATAAGGCATGCAAAGAAAAAATAATAATTTAAATTGTTTTTAATAGAAGCTGTTGTTATGGAAGACAGAGTAACTGAGGGTGCTGCTACAGGCGTACGTGGTCGACTCGGCGCCATAGAGCAATCATTCCTGTGAGACGAAAGCGCTACAGATCAACGAATTCGGTTAATTAAATATAAGAGTTACAAAAAAGTTACAACGTTATGGGAAAGAAATGTTCAGTCAAGTTAAAGTTCCTCTGTCTATTTATTATGGTTTCCGCATCATGCATGAACCGACTTCAGGAAAGTCATCTTAGAAAAAGTGTAGAATGTAGACGCTGCTGGTATCTGTGGATATTTTTGATGCAACGCACTGAATGAAACACTAATCATGAATTAGTGTCATTCAATTTATTTCTCAAGTGTCGATTTTTAATCTATGGAATGAATAAATTTTGGCGATATTAACGTAATTTATGTACTAATTTGTTTTAACTTCTTCAGTTCTTTTATTTGGGCAGAAAACCAGAAATATATGAATTCTTGTACCAGAATCCAACTTCAAAGCACATAATGATGATGATACTGAAGCACATTATACACATACGCTTTAACACATGATAAATTTGCGCTCCTTCCCTTGAGGCTTCCAAGAATATTAATCTCCAAAGTAACGCGAGAATAGTTCTCCTCGTGCATGGAATTCGTGGTGACGAGATGTCTGGTCATGCGACGCTCCACAGACCACACCCTGAAGGTAGTTAGGTGAGACTCAGAGTAAAACTGCGTTCATTAGGCGCCACATCGGCGGTTACGCGGCGTCGTTCCTGCCGCAGCAGTCCTTCCATCCGCATCTACATTCAATGATCATACGTTTCATCATCAAACTGTGATTAATTAAATAGCATCCGTTGTTTTTGAAACTCGACCATTTTCCATCAATCATGCGCATGCGCCGATCAAAGATCATGAAGATCATGTTCGTTCACATGAAAATTTCAATGTTTGTTTCTATAACGTCTGCTCTTTAATATTAATTAATACTGAAAATTAGTATATGTTCTGATTCACACGTGAATCAAGTCTCCGATTTCAATTACTGATGTGATTCAGGGGTTTTGAGGCTAGTCGTTCTAGCTTTATTTGAGGCTTCATTATTTTTTCAACTTCAAGCCCAGCTCGCGAGAAACGAGTTTATTTGATATCCAAGTAAATAATCGTATAACTTTCACTAAGCCCCGAATCTCCTGTCCTTAAACCATATTATTCGCTAATGCACTGCAGCTCATTAAACTACTGTAGAGACACTAATTAACTGGCTGCTGTACAGCAACTGTAGGAACATTAATTCGTGTCACATGGCACCGGGCCAGCGATCTTAGCGGACGGTTCAAGAGAGCTGCCGCGTGTCTTGTGCCTGAAGTTGAAGCGTCGCAAGCGTTCTGCAGGCCTCGTTGACTTGAGAGTCGTCGGACTTCCCTTGGAAAACCAAAGTGGAAATCGTATTTATATTTAAATTTCCGCGGAGTTTTGATTGCCGCCCGTAATTGAATCCAGACGCTTGCATTAATTATGAGCGTGTGAATGATTGTTGCTCATTCAGGTGATCCAGGATCTTCTATTCGATAAGTTAACGCATTTACATTGTAATTATCTGAAATATCAGTATACAAGAATATTATAAGCTATTAAATAAGAATATTATTAAGAATATTATAACCTATAACCTATATATTATTATAACCTAAATAGGCTATAGTTGTAGATTTTCTTGACATTTCTGCGCTGCAACTGTGATCATTTTAAACATTATTGTTCACAAGGTTACACTTTTCGAGACATTGTTCTAGCATGATGGCTATCACCGTCACATGATATTGTGTGTCTTTGAATGTACCGTTGAGGGCTGTTTGACTTTCGAAGTCGCCTTTTCTGGTTTTAGGATGATTCTCGCACTGTAGTTATGTGAATTAAAGAATAAATCTTTTATGGGAAAAGTGAATTTTGTCGAAATCTTTAGTATTTAAATCGATATTAAATCTAATTTTAGATAAAGTACAAGCGGTCTTAGATTTTGATTACCTGATTATTTGATTGCAGTGCTTCATGATAGCATGGATACCATGCTGCAGTCGCGCGACCTCAGGTAGCCACGATATTCGCTGCTCAGGAGGAGCAGATAAGCTACCATGACGGTACCCATGATAACAAGAGGGACTTCAGAGGAACATTCTATAGGAACATTCTCAGAGGAACATTCTATTCTCGTGATGTTGAAAGGCTCGGAGAACAATACCTTGGGAGGCTGTGGACCATCTATAACCGCGTGCTTCTGCAGGTCTTGTATGCCAAGGAATATCCGAATCTGGCCGTGCATTCAACAAGATGCTACAACCCCCAACCTAACGAGGCTGTTAGTAATCTTGGCTCAATCAAGTCTAGAAAGTGTCTACGCACATCACAGTACTGTTTCGCGCTTCGAGTACGAGGAGAACACGACTGCAGCGAAAATTGGGACGTCATTAGAGAACCAATAACATAAATGGATACTCAGTATCAAAACTTGTGCAAAGATCTCCTTCTTAGAGCCTCATCTCTCAGTACACCAAATTAAAAACATAGCGCAGAAAACAGTCTTAGCGTTGAGCAAAGCTAGATAAATTTGTATCACAATTACATTTTTATCCATGAATAAATATGAATGATGAATATGAGTGGTCGTCTGACTTTTTAATTCAAACACCACGTAACACATTTCATGTATATTCATCAGATTTATGCTGAGGCTGCACGAGTCTCTGTAGGTGAGTGGCAACTGAACACTCTAGTAATCTATGCACTCGATAGGCAATCTGTCATGCCACTCCCTGTGGGCACACTTCACAGGCGCGTCCTTCAACATGGCAATTAGTTTCCTCGCCACTTTGCAGTGAACAACTTTTGATTTTGTATAATTAAATTGTGATCAAATTGTTTTCTTGATTAACGGGTGAAAGAGAATCTACATTATTGTGCTTCTATTGCTGTGAAATGAACTTTTGCGTCAGACTGTCGCATAGAATCATTAATTGGCAAATGAATTAAAGTCATAATCGGCAGCGTTGCCTTTAAAGATATAAGCTGCCTGGTGAATCCACGTTTTACTATCAATCATTTCAATATATCATTTTTTCATTACAATGAAATTCAAAATTTTGTAATCTTTGATACCAAGATCTCCGATTTCAATTTTAAATTTATGCGATAAGTTGTTATTGAGTTATATTCCTGAAAAATGAGAACATTGAACGCACTGTTCACCGCCCAGCTTTTCAACTTGAATCCTATCCAACCTAAATATTTTTAGGCAGTGCTTTCTATATTAAAATTTTTAATGTACGTTAATGAAAGCAAATTTTACCTTGTCGCTCTTTGTACTATCTTATATGTTGGTTTATGCGATATTTAAATAAAGAACGGGCTGATTGTTCTTATCATGGCATATTTGTGTGCATGATGCTATCTGTAGCAGCATATCAGCTGAGCCATCATGATTGCTGCAACGAGTGTCGCGTCTGCAGTGTTGTCACAACTCAAGTTTTGAACGGTCTCGTGCCTCTCATATGTATCGCAAAGAATATCCGATTGTGATTATTTTATTGAGTCCTGATAGATGTTGTGAAGCGTTTCTTCCTATGAAAAGAGTTTTTTTTTGTTCGGGGACAATGACATGAGGTGGTGCATTAATTTCCAATTTCCAAGGATTATCATTCAAGTGTGAAATTAATCTTTGTTTGAGTTTATTATAAATTTATAAGGTGATTGTGTTTCCGAATAGTTGAGCCATGAACAAGTTTACTCAACCGAGACTCCCGGCTTATTTGGACCTCGATAGTATAAAAGAAGAAGAATTTCCATACAAGAAAACTAAAACTGAGACGAATTATAGGGACGAAGAATTGGGAAATGCGCATTATCATCGTAATGTCGATAAAAATAGACTCTCACTGCCATCTAATGGGAGGAATGCTGAATCCGCGAGTAGTGCAGGGATTGCAAACGATGATCCTGACGACTTTGTTCCATCGATGAGCTCGGAAGTTGATAATTCAAAAGCTGAAGGCGTTATAGAGTTCGGAGATGTTGATAGAGGACCAAAATGCGAGCTTGACGACGAATGTGATGCCTTTGTGCAAACGTTCAACTCGTCAGCATTCAACTCGGTTAAAAACGATTCGTCTGATTCTAAAGTGCCAATTGGCGCAAGCATTTTTGGCTACAGCAGGGCAGTAGCGCCTACTTCACACAAGGATGGTAAAGTTGAAATATTACAAGGAAACAATGTAGTGGTGAGGAAAAATATATTCAAACAGAGCTCCTCCTATCATATTAATCCGGAATTGCCACCAAAACCAAAGAACCTTCGTCCTCGTTCCTTGGCATGTCAGACTGAGCTGCATCCCCTGCATCCCATAAACTACTACGATAAAAAGAAGATGTCTTCAAATAACATCATTTATGGTGGAAGCCACATCATTTTAGGGCGTCATTTTTCACTGCCTTCAGAGTACCTACCAGAATACGGTTATTCGGTCACAAATCACTCCAAGCCATCAACCGGAATATACATCGAAGACCGAGCTTTACTTCTAGCCAGCGACCACAAAGAGCTCTGTGAAGCTGTGTCTTCCAGTGAAGGCATTCATCAAGAGACTAGAATGTCTACCGATGCTAAAACTAAAGTCCACGAATCTCAGTCTCTGCCCGCCTCTTATTTGAAGTCGTCTTTTAGCCAACATTCTTCCCACCCTCCGCCGAAAGCACTTCATTCTTCTGGGGAGAAATTCGATGTAGACGAATCCAAAGTCATTTCTATAAGCAAGTTGAAAACAACGCCCAAAGGTTCGAAACTACAGAGTGAGTTTTCTCCAGCTAAGACGAAAATTGAGAGAAACGATTTCCATTATTTAGGCAATACAATATCTGCAAACCATTCCAACCATATAAAAACGAAGAAGAAAAGCAAAGGCATAATCAAACCTTTTGTGAAAAAGGTCAGATCCACAATAATTGCATCCATCTCTGAGAAGGACTTGCCCAGTGCTGTGGCTCGTGAGAATAAGAGAGTAAGTAACTAACATGATGCCTATATTCCCGTGAAGCATTTGTGGCTAGATTTTTCCCTGTATGTGGTCACTGGTGCAACGAAACGATCAATTTTTGATTCGCAATTTCTTTTGGACTGCTTTCTAATCTCATTTCCATTTGCTGATCTCCAGCGAAAATATTGTTGATGGTTATCGATATAGTTATTCTCTACTGGTGCCAAAATAAAATGATGACATTGATGGCGATGTCAGTCATGACATCGATGAGGTAGGGATCACGACATGAATTGTGACAGGCGAATACGCTACTACATATATGTTGGAACGTGTACTAATACTAATACTAATGATGGAACGTGTAGTTGAGCGCCAAGATATAGGATTTCCTTGGGTCTATAAATGCCTATAATGTCATGAATATGTAGCGGAAGCCGCAAGCAGTTACCGAGCACGCTACTCGTGCCGCCGCAAATCGCTCTCTGCAGAGTTCTGCAGCGGCTCCAATGGAGCATGAAAACGAAGACCCGGTCTGCATTTTACTCGTCCAGACGTCCCAGTGGAGCCCGGCGCCACTTTGCTTCATGCCTGCTGGGCTTCAATGCCGGAATTCGCGCGCGATTCGGTACCCAATTAACCGTTTATTCGCTTCCATTCAGCCTATTCGCGGGTGAGTGGCTGGATCACTAATGGGACAATCGCCTACATGTGCTATAAGTATTTATATGCAGGCCTTTAACATGCTCCTTCTTCGTGTCCTATAGTTGCTCGGCTGATGATTTCTCCTTCCTAGCTTTGTGGAATAATTGAGTTTAGCTACGAAATTGTAATTTTTCGCCGATAGAGTTGAGTTTTATTCGCTTAGTTGCGCGTGATGTTAAGAACTTAGTGTGAGTTCATAAATTCTCAGAAAAAATCGAGGTTTAATTCTGACTACAATAATCGCATAGAATACCGAATACCGCGCCGCCAAATGGCAAATTCAAGAAAAAATGTTTTTCAGGGAAGCGCGATCCAGAAATGTTATTAATTTGTTGGCCTAAATTTTTGACGGTGCGAGATTTCCCGTCATCGATCTTACTCGTGGTGCAGGATATTCCTTCATCTAATCGTGATTCCAGCGCAGGATATCCTATCATCTGATCATAATTCCGGCGCAGGATATCCTACTATCTGATCATCATCGGCGAAGGATATCCTATCATCTGATCATAATTCCGGCGCAGGATATCCTATCATCTGATCATAATCGGTGCAGGATATCCTATCATCTGATCATAATTCCGGCGCAGGATATCCTATCATCTGATCATAATTCTCGTAGTAATTACAACACAAAGGAAGTAAATGATCCGTGCAGGCAGGGTGGGGTTGAGGGGCTGCCAAGACGAGCTCATTGAAGCCTGGGTGCAGCCGAGGGGTAAATTGCTTACTCAGACGAATCTCTTAATTCTATTGATGCAACTGCCTTGTTCAAATGATGATTGGCGTAAGCCAACCTCCCATGCGGACTCCGTCTAAGCTCCGAAGCATTACTGTAATTAATGAGATTACGATCGACTTGGGAAATCTATTGTAGAACTTATTGATTGACTGCATGCTTCTTTTAAATTTTGATTGTTTTATGGATAATGAGTCAAGCGTGGTGATTAGAATTTTATTACTTACAAATTCTGTTATTTAGATTGAAGAGCGTGTCTTAGCCAAGTTTGATAAAATTTTCTCACATCTTTATGACCGCAATTATTTTAAAATATTCGTTGATTTATTCACGAAAAATGCGTCTCAATGAGCATGCTGTGCACTTATATACTTTGTAAATACACAGCATATAGTATGTAGTGTATACCGCTACCCTGCCGCATTTCTGCCCGCAACCCTGCTGCAACTTTGCCACATTACTGTCCGCAATCCTACCCATAAACCTGTTCATAACCCTGCCATAACGCTGCCACAAACCTGCTCACAATCCTGTCACAACATTGCCCACACACAACCCTGCCCGCAACCCTGTTGCCACCCTCTAGCTACCCCTGGCTCGCCGCTGCCGTTCGTCACAACGATTCATCGGAAGAGCTTTCAGGCGCCGATAAAACTTTCCCCGTACATTTGATGACATGTGATTCACGACGTGACCTGCGCTCACCATTTTAATGTCAGTCCCGATATGTTACCTGACAGATCCCGGCACCTGAGTTCTCAAGCTGCGCACATTTACGTTTCGTTATGCAGCGCCGGGGGTATTTCTGCTCTCTAGTTTTGACCTATTAATGCGTGGGACAATGGCGTGATTTCAGCTTAGTTTCTCTATACGAGTTTTCAGCTTTCTTATGTGTATTCCTTAATAAAAGCCTCTAACTTTTAGACTTAAAGGAATTTTTTTTCTGCTTCATTAAAGTTCAATTTCAATCAGCTTCAAGTTTAATCTTTCAATGATGTATTAATGCAGTTGTTCTTGTAATTAATTTGCTCATTTGATATTTTTCATTCCGTTTCTACGTTGTCATCAATTTTCTAATGAAAACTCATTGCTAATTTAGGACTTTATAGTTATTTATACAATTTTGATCAAATGTAGGCAAGTTAATGAATTCTTGTTGTATCTTCATGACGCTGTGTTGTGTGTTCTCAGTATCCGAAACATATACACTATCAATCTTCTTATATTATTTTTGGAGTGTCATTCTCGATATTCCGCCTAAAGTTCTTGTCTAAGCTTATGTGAAAATTTGTCATAAGTTTGTTAATAATTCTTTCCAGCTTTAACTTCTCCAATTTTATATTCCATTCATTCATCAACCAATCAATACATATATTTCTCTTCATCAAATCCGTTATTTGTTAATAGGTTTTAAAATTGTGTAGAAAAATATATCCTTTCATAACTCAAATAATTTTTCCGCTAAAATTTTTATCACTTCTGAGATTATATTTAGTATTTAGTATTCTTTTGAATTGAACATCTTAGCAAACTCCATCTATTATCTTGACTAATCTGGTGAAATGTTTCCCTGAATATAATGTGACTCATCATCGTGTGTGCAGGCTGGTCAGGAGGCGGGGGGCGGTCGAGGGGTGAGGGGCCTGAGACACTGCGACTCCCTTGAAGGTCTCTGCGACGGACCTGACTCCAGGGGCTACGAGCATGGCAACGGTCAGTTGAATACGGGGGCCACGAGCATGGCAACGGTCAGTTGAATACGGGGGCTACGAGCATGGCAACGGTCAGTTGAATACGTGGGGGGTGGGGGCAAAATAACGAGCGTAGTAACGTTAGCTGGAGCGTAAAAATTTCTGCCTTTTAATTAAGGTTATATGAAGGCCCAATTTCAAATGTTTTTTAATGATAAACTACACTATAAAAAAACGTATGAAAAAATCTGAATATGAAGGTAATTTTGTGCAAAAATGTATGGTACGCGCTCGAATTAGTTTAACATTAGTGCCATGAGACTCGAGAGGACCAACTTCGGGAAGAGGCAATTGAACTCCGTTCGTCTTCTGTGAGACAAAGAAATTAGGTTAGCTGGGCTGCTGCGTGTTATATTATGGGGAGTTAATTCTGCATCTTTTTTGTGAGGCATCTATAAAATATTATATTTACCATGTTTTCTGTGCATTCGAAACTTCTAATTGTCAAAGCGATGGACTTGCCTACTTATTTTTCCCTAGGAAGACTTTCGATCCATTGTTAATGTCGCTTAATTCTAAGGCACTATAGAAGTATACATCCAACTGCATATTTTTTGCAACGATATGATCAAATTTCCTTTTCATTTAGATAATAACGGAATGCCTCCTTATGACTGAACTAGGATGGTATCCCTGGAAGTGTTCAGTTTTCTGAGTAGCGCCGATATGTAAATTTTCTTTGTTTTCTTAACCAGCGATTGGAAAATTGGGGGCAATCGTTTCTTAACACTTTTATTTACTGTTATTTTTTCTCCTTCTTTAAAACGTATTAATGTTGAAACTTTCGGAAATCGAATAGCTAGACGCTTACAATATATTTTTTCTTGTTTTAATGCACTCAACGAATTGTTGGTATGAATGACTTACTCGGTATCGTGTGATCTTAAAATGACTTCCCTTCTTAACCCATCAACATACTTGGACATCCGAACCTCAAGATAAGAAAGGAAATGATTCACCTACCAAGATGGTTTTATTGAGCGCTAGACCGGCAGTAACTCAATCTTTATGGATGGGTCCAGATAGCGCTTAAGTTCAATAACTGCACCTTCTTCACAGAGGCGCATCGCCGCGTCACTTGCTACAGAAACGTCGTTTTTTTTCTCTTCACTAAGACCAAGATTATCAGCTCTTCGCTGATCCTACTTCTTTCTCGCGCGATGTGTTATTGCGAGACGCTGCCACTACTTCGTGGACATGCCTTGTGATAAAGCTAGTTAACATCAATGAGCTTGGACGATAGATTAGATAGTTGGTCCAGCTTAGAAGTAAGAATGCAAAACGGCATGAAGTTGAATTAATCCTGTCACTGATTCTTTATTGTTGAAATAAATTACTTAGCGAATACAATATGTTGCAGGCCTTCCAGGTATAATTTACTCGTTTCAGATTTCTCCTTCTTCACAAAAGTATCGGCCTATATAAATATTCTTCTTCTTTTATCAGTATTTTGATATGAATTCGTTTAAATAAGTCCGTTTTTCTTTGCATTTACCTTGATTCTCAATTGCAAGACATTCCGAATTTAATTTTTAAAGGATCCTCCCCCCAAATAATTTTATTATCTAAATATAGATGCCGTTAAAATATAATATTTCATTCACATCCGAACTCTAATTATTTTTGCGCTGTCTCAACTTTTGAAGTGACTGCAAATTCATTTCGATAATTGTGAATGTATAAAAATTCGGTCATTTGTTTTTGATAATTGCTAATGTACCAGATCCGATCATTAAATCTCAATTACTGTGGATGCATCAAAAGCAGGTAATTTAATCTCGATGATTGTGGCTGTAATAAAATAAGTTAGGTTGGTGCTCTGGTAATACCGCTGAGAGCTGCGTGTGGCGGGCGCGCTGGATGATGCGTCTCAATATCCGCACCTGCCGCGCGGCCGTCGTTAATCTCCATCACTCATAATCTGCATGCAGCAGCTCTGATTCTGTGCTTCAATTACCGCTCAAGTGCTCGCGCAAAGTATGATTGGTGAGCGTCTCGAGAATTTGTTCCACATTATCATGGGAAAGTGCACGAAAGTGTTAATGATTAGCATCCAAATAATTATTTATTGATCATTTCATTTGGTTGCTGAAATGATTACCCAAAGATTAAAAAAGCCAAGGAACTCTAAATATATCGATAGTTTATGTATAAAAACTTCCCTAGTTTTTGAAATCCTTACACAACAAATTAAGAAGTGAATTGCTATTAAATCATGCAATTTTTTGATAAATCTTTAAAACTCCTGCACTAGCTACAGAGCTGTATTTCTCTTTATATTAACATTGGTATGTTAAGATAATTCGGATTTAACCTATAGATATTCTGATTTTAGTATCACTGTTCCTACCTTTTATGTAGAAGTGAACTTATTATGGCTATCCATAAAGCTCAAGTCGTTTTTTCCAATAAACAAGGTATTCTATTCATCCGATTTTTCAGTAGACAAAGTCATATTTGCGGTCTAACTAATCTTCCATCTATTTCTGGCTTTTTCTCGAGATTGTGTGCTGTGATCATATTGTAGAAAGAAGTACTAAGCCTCAACTGTCTAGCAAGCTGCTCACACATCTTTTATCTGAGTCGCTCCACATGCGAAGAGTCGTTTCCTTACGTTAACACTCACACTGCATCCGATGTACGAACGCTTCGCTCAGCTGAGTTCATCAGTTGTCAGTTTAGTTCTACGCTTGCACGTCGCACTTCTCCCGGTTTCCATTCTGCAACCTGAAATCCGGCTGTCATTGCAAAAAAATTTTTTTTTCTGTGAATGGTGAAAAATTACAGCAAGGGTGTGGTATTATAGTATCAGTTTTCCCAGTGGCTTGTAGTTGGTGCCTCTTTTTGCCTTAAAAAACCGAGTCAAAATCTTGCTGTTATACAGCTACTTATTTTTTTTAAACAAATTTTGTACTAGAAACAGTGATTAGATATGAGAGGCCTGAGGAAAATCTTCCGACGTTCTTCAACCGAAGACGCCCTACCGTCACTGGAGCTTGACGTCCCGTCTACAGCTCCGACAAGCGGTGGCAGCAGCAGGCCTGTTAGCCTCATCGAGTCCCGCTTTGTCAGCTTCGACGAAGAAAATTCTCTCCAGGACGTTCACGGGACCTCAAACCAACACGACGAAGTGATTTTCCGTAATAAACATAAACAGTTGGTTCAACATAATAGTGATGGACCTCTGGAGGCTAAAAACCTTCGGGATGTCAGGAAATGCAGTGCAGCGAGTTTGTTTTGCCGTAGCAGTCTCATTAAGAAAACTCGAAGCCCTCTACACGCTTCACATCTTTTCGATAGAAGTGTTAGCGAAGAGAAAAAACTAGCGTTGAAAGTAGAGGAAAATAGCAAGTTTTATAGCTATGGAGATTTAGAAACGTTCTTTGGAGACCATCGTCATAGTACTCCCATCAACGTAACTGCAGATTACACTTCAGGCGTTCTTGATACCCTTGAAACGTGCCAAGTAATTAAGGAATCTTCGTCTTTCAAATATTCCAATCATCGGGAGTCAACTTCATCAATCTGCAAGAGCAGCGATGCCCGTTATCCTGTAGGGGCGTCGTTGTCTGTACAAGAGGGAAGCTGCGCTAAAACGATCGCTCACTCTCGTTCCGAGGAAATCCCTGGCCCTGATAGGGACGCGGATTGTCGAGAAGTGACTCGCTCCGCGGAGTTGTTGCTGTCTCATCGCAGTCCGGGCTTGGGGATGAGCTCATACCAGTCCCTGTCCCAAACCGGCTCCTTGCCGCGCAAGAAAGTCACCTTTGAGTCAGCTGATCATTTGGACGATGCGAACTGTTCTCTAAAGAGAATGACTTTCTATCCAGAAGGTATCAATAAATAAGCTAGTACATTATTCCTGACTGCTCTAGAACTTTGTTTCCATGCGTTGTCAGTCGTTTCCGAAGGCTTATTTCTCGAGCTAGTGATCATCTTATTGTTATCATTATACTAGGAAGAGATTTCGTGATCACTGATTATAAAACAAAAAATCCACATTATCACACAATATTCATGCCTATCGATAGAAATAAAATCGAGTTTGGACTAAGATTAATTGTTGTGCTGTTCTCTAAGAAGGATCTGTCGCGAATTTGTTTTAAATACCTAAATTGTTTGGTAACTCTCTTGTTCACAGACTAAACATATAAATTGTAATCTAATTCATGTTAGTTTTACTGTTCACATCAAATTAATGTTCAATGTGTTGAAATAGTGAAAATACACAACAGACGCGACTGTTTTTTGAGTTCACATTGTGCGCTGAAGTGGATTAATGGGGCTCTTGATTTATTTAATTAAACTTGAGCCTTCTCCAAACACGGTTTACACATTTATAATCTGGTGTCATTCTCTGAAGTATTGTCTTCCTTAACGCATTGTATCACTCTATGATTCTGCACAGCTTCAAAATAAAAGCCAGCACCAAAAACCCTTTATTGCATGGAGGTTTTCTAAGGCTGGATTAATCCAGTAATTTCAAATATTATAGCTGACGAGATCCCGTGCTTTGCTTCTTGACGTTACCTTCATAATGAAGATGAGAAAACTGTGATCTTCCAGGTAGACCGCGATGCATTGATATGTCAGAGGTTTTTCCGCAGTCGCGTCTTATCTTGCACTCCATCTGCGTGATGTCGCGCGCGTGTGCATGTGTCGCTCGCTTCAATGGCCTGCCTCGAAGCGCAGCGGGTGTAGCTTTCAGTTTGGTTCTTTGCATGTAAATATATAGGAAGTCTTTTGGTAACTGCTTTTAACGACTAAATGCGTAACTGCTCTTCGAAAGAATACAAAAATGTGCAATGAATGTTTTTTTTTCATTGTATTTCCAATTGCACATTGCGGCCTCTCTTGTTAGGTTTGTCGTGGCGATCTATTTTTCTGCTGCTCTTATGTTACATTATTTCGCTGTATTTTCACTGTTTCATTTCTCTGAATTCTTGCGACCATATTACTTACGCATACTGTTGATGTTTAAAATTTTACAACGCTGAGCTTCCGTTCATTATGAATGTGATTGTTTTATTGGTGGAAGTCCTCCACTGTTAGTTGTTTTATTCATCGAGATCGAGGTACTGAGCAACGCATATTCTGATTATCCGCGCACGATGCCTTGTAGTAGGCCATCAAAAGACACGTATAGGTCGCGTGAGGGTAAAGCCGGCCTAGAGCTTTTAAAGCGAGACAAATAATCCTTCTTGAGTGCAGGGCTCATCCGACCTGGGAAGAGTAGATACCCCATCGTCTGTTTAAGAATGGCCCTAGATAATACGGCCATACATATAATAATCTACTTTGTAATATAGTCGCTAGGCTTGGTAGCAGCATGGCCTCGTGCGCTGGCATATTGCTAAGCCTCTACAGGGTCACAAGGGCCCCGTGCCTTGACCGAATTACCTCGCAACCCTATAGCTCAGAGGCCGCGGCCCCACGCCCTCTGGGTATTCCCGGGCCTTGTTTCTTATTTTGCTTACCTGCGTTGCATTGCAGAGGTCAGCGTTTGATGGCAGTACAATTGGACGACCGTAACGCTACTAATGTACAGGAGTTTGTACGCGGTTTGTTTTGCCTGTAAGATTGCCCATATATCCTACAGGAATTGCGTTTATTTCTGGTTCTATGAGAGGATATTCATTTCGATAAAAGATTTCTAATGTCTCTAAAAGCTGTAATTCGAAAATGAAATAATTGACAATAAATTAATTTTTATCTTGCTCACGTTAGAATTTTGAACTGGCAGGGCTTCAACGATTCTATACGATTAACTTATTTGGCTAGATTTTGCCTGCTAGAGAAAAATTTTGCTGAGCACGGAGTGCCTGATGCAAATCGGAATCTTTTTATCGAGAAATAACCTGTATATTTCGTAACTAACTTATTTTAACGTTCAGGTACGATTTATTTATTGCATCGTTCAAGTTCTCAAGTTCAAAGAATATATTAAAAATTATATAAAGATCTTTTAATTAAATTTTCATGTACTGAACCGAGAATTGAAATAAATTTCAATTTAACCTATTGAAAATATGGTAAAAGTTCCGTCACTGTAGGTGTCGTGGATACAAGCATGAATAATTCCTGTGTAGTAAACATTGCCAGGCTTCAAACACACGTACAAACTTCACAGTTACACGCATTCTGAAACATAAAATACAGAATTAAGCTTTCGTACAATTACTTTATTTTAGTTCAGCCTCAATAATCTTTGGCAAAATTTTCAACTCGTTGGGAAGTGTAGCTATTTTAATTTTTTTTTATCTAATTCCTACATTTTACATTGAAATGCTTTCCTTTGTAAGTTATTAATCATTTTCAGTCAACAGCATGAACATATTACAAAATTAGAGCCGAAATAACTTCTTCGTTCGACCGACTTTTTTGTTTTTTTTTCTGTTCGCCTATTTTTATATATATATCGTGTTATGCAGTTGTACAATTTACGGGACTCGAGTTGCAATTATTAAACCATCCAGATATCTCGGATACTATCACAATATCATGTTTATCTACGTACAATATACTTGCGTTAAAGATACAAAACTTATATATATAATATGTATATATATATAATATATATACAAAACTTGTATTTGTAAGTTTGCTAATAATAGTCAAACGCAACGTGCAGGCCTGGCGAGCCAACCAGCCGCCGTGAACGCTACGTCGCTGCCGCACCTCAACCAGCTCACCGACCCTCCTGACGCGACCCACTTCCCTCAGAACCTCCCCAGACAACCTCTCTACGTCAACCCCGGCCTTACGGCGTCCTGCCATGCGGTACCTTCACTAGATATTCTGTCCATACATTCATCATCACTTGAATCCACGCATGAGAATAGATTATAGCATGAATTCAGATCCTTGATCAACATGGCTGCTGTTACCAGAATTAGGTAAATTTATGTACGAGAATCCATTGCATTACTTATTCATTTCTTTCCTTCATCAATATTTTCTATAATTCCATATTTTCAACCTAAGAAAAAATTCTCACAATGAATTCTATTATTTAAATGTTATACTTCATTTATTCACTGCACTAATTAAGTTCATTTGGTTTAGATTTTAGAAGCTCGTCCGAATTGTCTTCAGTGTTGCTTACACTATTAGTCAATAAGAATCATATTTCTCGCCTTCAATGATACCACGTCTTGGTGGGATCATCACCGAAACTTAATGTAGTGTTTATTGTTTATGCTTATTTTCTGTAATGTCGTATAATGCAGTGATTCTTTAATTAAATCTGCGACGACATGAAATTTTTTTTATGTTCTAATCAACAATTTCTTTCATTTTTTTTAACTCGAACAATTGTTTTTCTCTCAAATATCCTTGAACTGCGATCGTCAGCAACTAGTAATAGCGTCTGGTAAAAAATTCTTGCGACATCCAATAATCCATTAACTTTATAGCCATTAACTCTATAGTCAAAGTATCTGATGCTTGTAATCTATATAGATGTTTCTGTTGTGTTGTGACCAGAGTGGCGCCGACGCGCAGCCTACGCCGAGCCCCTGTCACCGCAGCGCCACCGCCGACGCCGGCGCACGGCGCGACCACAGCAGCGATGTCGCTACGCCTGCCGGAGATGACGCGCCGACCGACGACACGCCTGCTAAATTCGGGTACGTCCCAGGCTCTTAGGCGCCTCAATGCGCTGCTTGAATGAGATATAAATGAGTTTACCATAGAATAATTCATTGTATCTCCTTGTGTTATTATGAGTTCCAGGGAGCGTTTGGATTCGTGTTCCATTTTATCCATGCGTGCATTAGGTTCTGTCTTTGTTTGTAGGTGTGGTTTCCCATTGGGGATCTTTTGCTCCTGTATTGTTGATGAATAATAATTTTGCTATATCTATCTTGCTTTATAGACTAAATTCGAAATTCATGAATGCATAGTTGTTAGCTTGTTCATGCTACTCGTTTTTCGCCCAGAAGAGATTGATAACGTAGTTTAAAATAATGTCATCCAATAATAGCCATTCAGATGCGTTCGAAACTCGATTACACTAAATAATACATCAACATGCACTCTCGAATTCACAGTTTGATGTTTCATTATGTGACCCAAACAGCGATAACAGTAATGAGGGGAACTTATCCTCATGTTATTGGTAAACTTTCACAGAAAATATTAGGCTAGAATTCTAACCTGGATTCTCAAGTGCAAGTATCGTGGCCATCATGCCTCGAGAAAACTTTGCTGTTTGAATTTTGTGTTCCGAGACCAGTTTGCCTGTGAACGATCCCGGCAATTTAACTTCAATTAGGTGGAGTTGCTCGCGCTGCACCAATTTCTTCCGGAAACTTCATTGGGGACACAACTTCTAATTTGCTGATGAGGAAATGTAAAATCTTACCAATATTTTGATTTCAGAATTCCATTAAGTGACAAAGTTTCGAAAGTGTACTTCCTTCTTTCTTGAGGGCATTTTTTATTTATCATCTAATCTAATTACAAAAGATGTTCCGTGAGTTTGTCCTAGCAGTTGTTGATTCTTTGGTTAAGACTGCTATTTTTGCAATGCACCGAGGAGGTACTATGTGTTTCGAGAGCTGTGGATGTCCCCGAAGACGAATCTTTATTTCTTCGAGAGATTTTTTTTTTATTTGCCAACTCGAAAATGAAGCTCAGAACCACTATTCGGTATCGACAGCCACGGCGAGTTTGTAAGATTCTAATGTCAGGGAACTCAACATAACGTAAAATCGAACTGCTCGTGGAGCCGCAGATTCTTTTCCAAGAACCAATTCCGTGTAAATGCTTCCTGAAACGTCCGTTAAAAAGCGAGCCGCGATAAATAGGACAGCTTCCTTGAATACTTGTCTATCAACTGTAGATATAAAGACTGATAAGCTACTGTGTTGCTTGTTGCACTGCTAATGAGCTGTTTGTCGCTAGGGCTACTGAATTATTTTTTTTTCTTTCGACCTTACATCCTGTTTTAACATTGAACAAAACGCTCAGAGTGGCGAACTTTAGTAAGTTGATATTGTTCATTGACAATTCGGCGTCGAGACTGGTGAAAGTTCGATCTAGTTTCTTCGATGAATATTGTATCAGATTGTTTGAAATTTCATTCTTCATTCCACAGAAGCGTTTCGCTTCTGTGGAAATGCCTACCAGAAAAGAATCACTAGTAAGACAATCTCTAAAAATTTTCCTTTAATAATTTCCTAATTTCTCGGTTACAGGAAATCCAACAGAAGCAAACTGAAGCGTCGACCCCCGTACCACAAGCATAACAAAGATGCTCCCAGCTCAGTGAGTATTGCACGCGTCGTGTTTTTACATCCGGAGAACCCAACTCTGAATAGTTTATTTTTCCAAAATATCAATAGATAAACACTTTTATTCACTTGCATGGATGAACTATTTTATCACATGTTTGCTATCGCTTTGATGAAAACATTATTTTTTTTTACAACACAATCTTTGTCCGGTAATGTGCGAAATATCTATTTCGGTTGTTCATGTGCACTCTTACTGCGAAAGTCATGGTTTGCTATTGCTATGCCTATGATCAAACATTACTGTGATAAGAAGCCTGGGTAATACTTGCAAATTGAATGATTGTTGTTAGCTATTAAAATATGTGTGAACTGCCATCCAAAACTAAACTTAACCAAATGTTATTTGTATGACTTGTTCCTAATTTGACTATGTTTATATGTGCCCGTACCGTCTCTTAGCGTCCACCATATCAAACGAACATTGCCCATTCGATTATTAAACATTAAATAAAAATTAGATGTGAAAACGTTCTGAAGTCATTTGTAACTTCTAGTGCAAATAACGTTAATGTTCAGGCTGTAGCGTAATCTACAGATCGCATTAGTAATATTATTCTAAGAAAAATAAGTTATATCTATGATGTCCTAAACTATGAATCGGTTGCTGCAAGGTCGGCTTAGCCTCGTTTTTTATAAGAAATTTCTAGTCATAGATTCTGTCTATAATTAATGATAGGCAATTTTTAGTTGGAAACGCTCCAACAAATGAGATCTTGACAGATTTGATTAATCTCCTAATTTTGAAACAAGTATCATACAAATAGTTATGATACACGGTTCATCTTATATTAGTTCATCGTAATTACAGTGATCTGTTTCAACTGATTTAGCTTAATATTGTTTGAATAGCCCAATTAATCTAGACTGTTGCTTACCACTCAAATAATGGGCTAGTATTTATGATGACGTAAACAATGTCAAATTAGACAGAAAAGTTTGAATCATGCAGTGTTACTTAATGTAAAACTTTATTACAGGTGTTAGTGAATCAATGTGTCACTAAACACTTTAAAATTTCTTGTCAATTAATAATTTTCGAAAATCTCATTGTACAAATAAAGTTAAAATGGCCCAATTTTTTAATAAGCCCATGTTAACTCATTATGTTCTAATGAGAAATTATGAACAATAATTCATGTATATTCATTACATTTAGGCTCTGATATGAGTGCACGACAGATTAATGACAGATTTACGGATTTAAGAATTTAAATCTGTTTTCATTGAACTACATTTCCCCTTTTATTTAATTGACAGTTAATTAGAGTCATTCGTTTTTAAAATTCTGTAAACGACAGTTTTCATTTATTTCGGTTTTCATTTCATCTCATCATTATATTCAAACCTAATTTCAACATATTTTCATGAAATTGTTGAGTAAATTCACATCCAATGTTAAGTATCTCGTCTTTATTAATATAACCACTTAACACTTAACTTTAACTCCTTCGAACACGTTATACATACAACCTCAAGTCTGCCTGGAAAGAAGATCATTATTTCGCATTCGATTTAAAAGTCTTAACTCGTCAACCGCTGACGTCTCGTGCGAACCCTTGTTGCGCCTGTCAGTTCACTGTCAGATGATCAGTTTGATCAGTCAGATGATCTCTTATTTATGCTATATTTTCTTCTGTTCCGAAGTCTACCTGCGATAATTGCTTGTTGAACAACATTAATTGGACTGATGACTCAATATGACCCCGATGTTTGCAGGACTGCATTAGTGTACACGTTATTTATTAATATTACTCAACTGATCTAAATTATGCCTGGAAACCCCATTCTAGTACTTTCAGGTGGTTTTGACCTAATTTATATATTATGCAGAGGCTGTACAAAATAAGGGAAACACCATGACATCTTGATATCGCAATTTTGAACATGTTATAATCAACGAAAACGTGACGCATTTTTTGCTTTATTTTTTATTGTTGCAGCTTATTGATATTTTATCCTTGCTCAGATATTTTTAGTAAATTTTGTGTGTCTATAACCTAACCTATAACCTATAATTGGCGAACCTTTCTGATATTCAATGAGGCCAAATTGTCGGTGCCCGTGTGGCCGGTGCTAGTGTGACAGAAACTGCCCGAATGCTTGACGTTACTGAAGGAACTGTCTCAAAAGTAATGACTGCTTTTGATAGAAAAAAACCGCCCTCATCAAAGCACAGGTCTGGCCGAAAGTCGATGTTGTCTTCGAGAGACCATTGGTACCTAAATCGAATTGTGAGGGACAATCGAAGGACCATAGGTGTTAAAATTCCTGCAGACCTCAATGGACACCTACAGAAACCAGTTTCCATGAAGACTCAGCCGAGGCTGCACAGATCTGGATTCTATGGAAGAGCTGCTGTTAGAAAACCTCTGGTTTCAGATACAAATGATTCAAAGCGTTTAGAGTGAAGTAAAAATCTGCAAAATTTGTCCCTTGAGCAGTGAAAAAATGTTATTTTCTCTGACGAATCATAGTTTACCTTATTTCCAACCTCTGGCCGAGTTTACGTTTGGATATGAGGTTACGTTTTACGTTTCAAGATGAAAATGACTCAATCCATACAGTTGGAATTGTTAAAATATGGCACGAGGAACATTTTAATGAAGTTGGGCATCTTATTTGACTTCAACAATCACCAGACCTGAATATCATCGAGCATTTACGGTCGATTTTAGAGATGCAAGTCAGAAGTCGATTCCCGTCGCCATCATCTTTAAAAGAGCTGGAGGGAGTTTTAATTGAACAATGGGTCAAAATACTTATAGAAACAATTCATAATTTGTATGAATCAAAACTTTGGAGAATTGAGGCTGAAATTTTATTAAATTTGGACCTATACCATAATAAAATATATTTTGTGGATTTCTCATCTGTTTCCCTGATTTTGTCCAGCCCCTGCATAATCGGGACACGTTCTTTTTTGCTACGCTCGATGTTTGGTTGAGGTTAATGGAGCATGTTTGTTGTTTAGATTCTATGATTTCAAGGCACTAGAAGTGACTATCTTCCGTATTCTTATAACGTGGATTATCAACATATCAGCAATATCATGAACTATCAATAAAGATGGCTAAATTTCGTCACCTCTTGCGTGACGCTCGCATCTCCGCGAGCGCTTCGAAACTGGACAGCGCCTCCAGTATCGTTGCAGCTGCCGCCGAGTCAACGTGTTGCTGGAATAGCGCGGCCCGAGCTTTGTGAGGATGAGTTCTAAATCTGCGCAGCCGGAACTTCAGTGAAGACCGTGCAATATATTTTGAATTTGAATAAATAAGTTCAGTATATAATCAATCGTTACTGACTACATCATTTTTTGTTCAAATTACACGTAGTTAGAATCGTATTGGTGGCAGCAATTTAAAAATAATCCCATCTTAAAGAACTGCCAAACTATTTTATTGCTGGTCCTAGAGAAGTTCGAGGAGGAATTTTTGCTCGTTACCTTGGAGTGATTTTCAAAGTGAAGGTGACTTTTTACAAAGGGTATCAAGTCGCAGAAATTCAGTGTGTCGTTCATGAGGTCACGCCCAGGTCAGTGGAAGATGAAGAGAAAAACGATGCGAGGAAGCAGCCGAAATCCAAGGAAGTAGAAATCGACGGCTCGTAAGAAGGCTTCAAGGGCCAAGGCGTGCGATGTTGGCAGCAGGGCTGGCTGAGGACCGCTCTGATGGACCCTCCTAAGAGGGAGGACGACCAAGGTCGGTCCACCGACGGACACCATCGTCGAGCTTTATCCTGGAGCTGCAGGAGGTCCGGAAAAATTTCCCCGACCTCCCGCAAAGGAGGAGGTCGGGATGGCTCAAGTATTGAGCTTTTGGATCAGGACTCAAGCCGACACGAGCAGGATAATGAGGTCCACCATCGCGTGCCAGCGCGTCGAGCGTCAAGCAAGCGCGAGGGCAAGTGTGGGAGAAAGGCCGAGGTCAGAGTCGAGGGCAGGACACTTGGTAAACCTGGAGGCAGCTGGTGGAACCGCAAAATGAAAGCATCCAAGTCCCGTGAAAGCTCGCCGACTGGTGATGGTCCAAGCTTTGAGATCCCTATTGCCGTGTCCTGCTCTCCTGCTTCCGCTGCTGGCACACCTTGCCTCACGCTGGACGTTCAGCGGTGCTTGGGTGCCCAGGACTCCAGTACGTGTTTCCTCAGCACCAGCACTCTGCCCAGCACAGAGAAGAGATCGTTCTTCAAGGAATTTAAATCACATTCAAGGGAAAATAAGACTCCTACCAAAGAGAAAAGGTATAATTATAAGAAATACCAGTCCAGATCAAAAGAACTTCGGAACTTCTTCAGAGAGTATCGCTCAGTGTCAAAAGAAGAGCCCTCCTCGCATACGATGGAAGCTCGACGTTCGCTTACACCGACGTTCGACTCAAATCATCTCTCGACGTCGCACTTGACCAAGTCTTGCTCGCTGCGGTCACATCCCAAAGAAAGACCATGTTCTCCTTCCCTCAATTTCGTGCGTCCAGCTTCGCCGTGTTTCTTGCTGTCGACTTTGAGTTCTTCGCTTCGCTCGTATAAGAAATCCCCTTCGTCCACCAGCACATCTCTCGTCACGTCCCCTGTGTCTTCCTGCTTCAGAGTGGACTCGGCTATCTTGTGGTCTTCGGCACAGATGTTTTCTCCTCCCTCACTTGTCATCGATCTTGATGTGCGTAGTAACATTTTTAAGTTCATATTTCAATATAAAATATCTAATTTAATGTTGCATTTATATTTTAATGTTAATAGTTTGATCTTTCTACTGAAGAATATTACGTCGGTGACGTTGATATTCGGTTGTCATGAACTTCTCTTTACCTGGTGTAATTAAACAGGTGTTTAGTGATTCACTTAGAACTGATCTACACTTCTCATTCCTCGCTGTTCATAAAAATTTAGTGCTGTTATTCCCTTTGTCGAGTTCATCATTATGCTGTTTAGTAGGTACTACTTATAATGAAGGTATAATTTATATTTTTACCGGAA